TCCTGATGTCAATGGGGACGAGCTCATTATCACACACCGATGCACAACACGTTACATGATAAAGGTTCCTACCCTATTATGCCTGATACTACACATTCTACCAAACCATCTTTTTTTGGAATCTCGTTCTGTGTAGCATTGATGTCCAATATTTGTATTCAAAGCAGGGCTTGAGGGGGATATGGCACGTCAGGTTTTCCCTTGCCTTTTTTAACTTAAAAATAACGTCACATACAGTATATTATGCCCACTTAAGACAATACTGATTTAATTAAAGTTGCAACTGAAGCATTATGAAGCTAGTTATGTCGGCTAGCTGCTAATGTGCTAGCTTTTGGGCAAAAATGCTAGCCAGGAATCATGCCCTGTTAGCTCATCATGCTAACATCAGTGGTTGTTAGCAAAGTATACATATACATGAAGTGTTAAGTGACATATTTTTTTAATCACTGTCAGAATAATGAACGCATAGTAGTAATTTTGTAAAGTTCGTCTCTTTTCCTACTTCATTACATTAACAATCTCCCATATTAAGAAGGAGCAGGTAACATTAGCTAAGGCCGGGTATCGAGGGGGCGGGCGGGCGTGTGGGCGTGTTTATGGGCTTCAGGGGGATTCAGTGACTTGATCCTCTGGTAGTTTAAATACCCAGAAGGAGGAACAAAGTAGAGAGGGTGAGTAGACGATGTTTTTTCAAATGCTTTATCGAATAGTTTGCCAAATATTTAACTTTTCAACGCACACTCTCTTTTAGTTCTGCACACGTACTCCACTGTACGTCATAACGCCATCATACATAGATGCTCCGGTGCCGTGAAGTTATTGTTATAAGTTCACGATTTAGCTTGCGTTGTTTAGCCACAACGGCTAACGCAAGCTAAAACGTGAATTTATTTTAACAATTACACTTTCCTTAAACTCATCTCTTTTTTGAAATAAATAAGCTAAATCGACGGGATTTAAAAAAGATAGATATTTTCTATCTGAGTTTGAATATCCTATTAGATGGGCTTTGTTAACTGTTATAACTGCTGCGCTTAAACTCCGGGCGTTTGCGTAGTTAAGTCACAGCGAACAGTTGTAAATATGGTGGAACAACTGCCAACATTAAATTATCATTTAAAACATTTTTATAAAATAATTTTATGAAAGTTATAGTTATGTGGTGATGCTACTGTAGCAATCAGCTTCAACACATGGTTAGGGAAGGTAAAGCTCTCGATTCATTGTTTATGTTTTGTTGTTCGGACACGACATCCTCCCCCTCTCTGTTGGCATGGTTTTCATCAAGTAAAGTTTCACTTCCGGTCAAAGTTGCATTTGTCTTTGTATTCTTGGTCATTTGTAAAGTTTGTGAGAAGAAACATCGGCTGGTTAATTTCACTTATGATTCTAAGTACATTTAAAGTAGCTTGTTGATATACCGGAGTCAAATAAGTTGGAGCACATGTAGCTTGTTTGTGTTTATCATACTGGAGCTGGGATGAACGGTATTTCAGAAAGGACATGAATGCAGCATTTTCGCCGGAAATACCCAAAGCAGCTATCTGTTAGCATCATGTGCTGTTAGCATCATGTGCAGGAAGTAGCAAACAGCAATATAAACGGTGGATGGATACAACCAGAGCCACAACACATCTGAGCGGTGTATTACGAAACCAGATTAGTGTGTTAGCTATGTACGTTGAGTTTAAATCCAGAGTTTTCTATATCCTAGACTTTGCGGTTTATATCAACTAAAGATAACTGTGCAATAACTAGCTCCTTTGAAAATAGTGTCGAATTAAAGTCGATTGTAAATCTCGGAGCAGTTCAGATTCTCAGAGAAAGGGATACTTTATTTATGTAAAGCTGTGAAGTTGCAATAGCACAAACTGTTTGCAGTGCATTACTTCTTTGTTGTTGTTTTTACAGCTGCAACCTTTATCGGTGATGCAGATTATCAGAAGAGGAATACTGTGTTTTATATGATTGTTCTTTTAGGCAGGGCATATTGTAGCCTACACTAGTTTTTCAGTTTTTCTTTTCTCATATTTGGTTGTGTGTATTATATTTCTTTATAATAACTGAACAGTCTGAACTGCCCACACATTTGCCCACTAGGGCTCTAAAATAAGCCTCTTATAAATGTGCAGGCAAACCAATAGTGTACAATATTATAGATTAGTATGAAGCTTACTTGAATATGGAATGTGGTATAATACAATTATTTTCTCGTATCCTTTATTATTGGACAGTTTCAGACCTGAATGCTACTAGATAATGTAGTTTTAATCTGCTGTATCACGTTTTAAGAAGAGTAGTAGAAGGGAGTTTTAAAGATCTGTAGAGAGCACAGTTGTTCAATTAGAAAAAAAGGTAAGCGTAGATTGCATCTAGCTAGATATATAAATATATGATATTTTTTTTTAAACAATCACTACATTTCCTCCAGCATTTTGCTCTTTTTCCTGCAGCCTTGTTGCCTCATGACATAATATTGTTTTTATATTCCTGTAAAATTCAATTTGTAGTAAACCTCCCTGTCGTAGACTCTTGACTACAACTGGCAGTTATTTTTCCTTGATCTTTAATTTCACAGCACAAAAGTCTGCTGAAAGCAAAGTAGTGGTTTGATCAAAGCTTTTAACGTTCAAGTAGAGATTTTCGTTTTTTAGCCCAATGATTCATGGCTAGTTGTGATGTATTTGCTATTTTGTCACATAAAAAAATGACATTAATTTAAAATCAACCCCACATATCTCCCGGGGGATAAATTCCATGCATTTTATTCCAAATCACATAAGAAAATACATTTTTAAAATTGTGATAGGGTCAGGAATGTGACATCTAAAACGTAATATTTGTGGTGGATCAGTGTTTGTATTTGTCTGACTCTGTGGTGTTTGTGCGGGTCAATCTCTTTAGAAGATGGCCACGATGAACGTGGCAGTGAATGTACCTGCCTATTCAAGGCAGCCAAACCGCCGTGAGGTGCTGGCTTGGCTCAACTCGACGTTACAGACAGGCTTCGCCGGGTTGGATCATGTATACACAGGTAGGCCAACATGCATACTTTTAAGTGCGGGAATAGCACCTCAACAAACTATCATGAGCCAGGCCGTAGAAGTATATATTTTGTGTATACTTGTGTGGATGCTGGACTCTGAGCCGACCTGACTGCACATAATTGATTACCGTTGTGTGTTTGTGTGAACATCCAGGCGCCGCCTTTTGCCAGCTCATCGACTGCCTGTTTCCTAAAACCCTGGACCTCTCAAGCGTCCGATTCGAAAGCAATGAAAAGGTGGACTCTCTCCACAACTACAGTTTACTGCAAACTGCATTCAGAAAAGTTGCAGTATTACGAGTGAGTATTGTAACAAAAGTGGCGAGCGACCAATAAATCAAGGACCGTTGAAAAATTCCGTCCAGAGTCTTGCACTTATGATATTAGTTATTATGTTGAGCAATAAGACACTAAGTTATACTGTAGAAGTGACAAGTCTTTTTCTTAGGTAGTTAAAAACTCTTCACCTAGGAACCCTTGAAGTTTTTAGTTTAGCTGTAAAGTATCTCTTTAAATATGTACATAGGTTGGTCACAATTTAAAAAAATAAAATATTTAATGCTAGTTATCTATCAAAAGGGTTTTCTTATGTTCTTTGTTTAATTAGGTGTGAATATTTTTGACTGGTGAATATGAAAGTTTAAAGCCTCTTCTCTGTTTCCAGTACATCCCTGTTGAACCGCTGATGGCAAGGAACGTATCGGTCACTCTGCAATTCCTGAACTGGTTTTACCTTTTCTTTAAGAAGAACATGAGTGAGGCCAGGGAGTACAATGCCTTTGAGGCCAGAGGTGGAAAGAATATTGTTCCCCCTCGCACAGGTAGGAAAAAAGTTTGTGGGTGGATGAATCATACAGTTGTTACAGAGATATTGCCCATTGCAAAGGGGTGGGGGACTGAAATATGCAATATTTGTGTATTTGCCACATCTACACCATAATCCGAAATATCACAGAATGCAGAATTTGCTTTTGGTTTCCAGTATTTTTATATAGAGCATATACACAATGAGTAGCACACCAAAACCAATATATTTAAATTAAAACATTATCTGTAATCATTAAATATAACACTACAAGTCACTTTTCTCATTATGACCTAACAAATAATTTTCATATTTAGCCATGACACTGTAAAAAGGGGAATTTGTTTTATATAAGATGGTCAATTAAATGTGTTTTTTCATGATAGGTACTACCTGATTTACACAAGACAAAATTGCACCTACATGTTCCCAAATCAATTCACAAAGTTTGAACATGTTTGCACAATCAGTATTTTTCCATTTAAATGCTCTATTTAGACTATTATAACTATGTGAAGTCAGTTTGATATGCTGGACTTATGTTTGAATAAGCAGCTTTAACGCAGAAGTCAATATTGGATGCCCTCGCATTAACATAATACAATATCAATGCCAGGTTAATTACACGCAGAGAGATATAAAATGCAAACGTTATTTGCTTTCTTTTGCTTTAGATAATGAAAATGAAAAAATGAAGCTTTAGGGAAATAAAGCCAGTAATATTAAGTGTTTATGTCTTAAAGCACTTGTAATGTGTTTCCACTCCCATCTGATCCCCCAGAGAGTGAGGAGGAGAACGATGTCAGAAGAGCGGCAAAAGAAAAAAAACGAAAGTTGAAATCTGAGGCGGATGTGAAAGCGGGGCAGGAGACAGAGGAAAGGAACAAAATCAAGAAACAAAAGGAGGAGCAAGCAGATGAAGAAAGTAGTGAAACCTTTTTGCTCTTCATCAAAAGATACTGCAGTGACACGAGTACAGACCCTTCTGTTTCTGCCTTCTTAAGACCGACCCACTGTGCGAACGTCATTAAAGCCTGCTACTCCCTGCCATACTGCCTCTACCTGTATATGGACGTGGAGCTGGGCTTAGAAAAGAACACAAGTGTCGTCCTGGTGGGATATTTCGACCAGAACTCAGGTGTCAGTGTGGTAAAGCCGCTGCTCACGCTGCAGCTGAGCGGCAGCTACACTGACCCTCAGTGCTCAGAGGACGCAGACATACACACTGTGCACACACACGCTGAAACTGATGCAAGCCTTCTAATCAAAGAGCTGAAGAGGAAAGATCTTTGGCTGCCCAACGCCGCTGTGTTTTACTGTAACGCTCCGAACCTGAAGGTGAGCAACATGTTTCTATCACAACTCCAGCCTTTCAACCAAAATATCATATCGCTCTGCGGCCTCCCCGGGATGACGTCACGCGCCTGCCAGGCCGGACTCTTGTCTTCCTTTAGTTGCGTGGTCGACCTCATTAGAGACATCCACTACCACTACTACACCTGCCCCTCCGTCAGTGACAGTGTGAAAGGCCTATTTGCTGATGAGAAGTACTACAACCCCTCCCTTCCCATCGCTGCACAGTGTCTGTTCATCATCCACGCTTGTCAGAAGATGGTGGACTGCTGGAGGCTTTTAGTGGAGTATTTTAAGTCATTGAAGCAAGTAGAGGACTCCAACCGTATCAGAGCCCAGCTGTTGGATTATAAAATCCGCCTGCGCATCATTTTCCTCGCCCAAAATTTGGAGCCCATCCGAGCCCTTCAAGAGTTGCAGGCCTCCAGCGACGCATGCGTGCCCGTGGAGCTCCAGCTGACCTCCATGGTGATGCACTCGTTTGCGTCCAGTCTGCTCCGGCCCTCCGCCATAGAGAATTTTCTCAACAAGCGAAACGTGAGTCACCTCCAAACCAGCTCGGACCTGCTCCCCGTCAAAGAGGTGCACGTTGGTTCTAATGCCAGAGACTTTCTGTGGGCCAGCGCTGTCGTGGATCTGGGGGAAGCGGACAGGAAGGCTTTCCTGAGCGATGCGAAAGCTTTCTATAAAGCAGCACTGGAGAGTTTTGCGGAGAGTCTTCCTGAGGATCTGGGGGATGTGGCACTGAAGAATATGGGCAGGGTGCTGCGACATTCTGAGGATATCAACGTAAGGATACCTTTTTTTGGTTTATTCAAAGTGACACTTAATGCAGTCAGCTCCTGCTTAACATTTGTTGAGCCTGTATGATGCGGATTGTATATTTAAAATGAATACAATAAACTAAATCATAGTAGGGATGCAGTCAAACATGTCTTTACTAGACTATATCAAATATTTTGGCTGTTTTCTCCCAAAAATGTAAGAATTCTCTCCGGAATTAGATATATAGATATAGCATTAAAACTGTTATGACAAAATAGAAGACACTTTGAATCTCTGGATGGTCCGCATATTCACTATCTGGATTTTGCTTCCTTTTGATATGTGTTTTTCTTCCAGGCAAATAAATTGACCGCAGAAGTGCTCACAGAGTTGGCGGATCAGCTGGGTCTGCTCAAAGCTGGGGTTAACGGAAAGAAAATTCTGGTCAGCAGCTACTTCCATTTCGTCAAGACCACAAAGAAGGAACAAAGTGTCAGCTGGAAAAAGGTAAACTAACAACACAATGGAGCAAAGTTGCCTACGATTATCAAATTACATTTTTAAGTGAAGAATACTGGTGTTACCTTATCAGGTAAACTTAATGAGTAACAGATTTCCTACAGTAGCTTATGATGATCATTTGAATGATATATATATATATACATTGATTTGATTTACGTTAAGTTGCAGAAAAACTGCTGGTTCTGACGCTATCAAAAGTAATTACAATGGTTGCCTGTGTTCTCTTCATAGATATTGTACATGAACAGACAATTCACGAGTCTGCATAGACTCTTCCTGTCGATCCTGGCCCTGCCGAGCTCTCTTCACAGGACGCAGGTGTTTGCTAAGGTGAGTGTTAATAGTTCAATCTGTTCTGAAGGCTGACGGCTGTCGGTTCGATAACTGAATCAGAGGCCATTTTCACAAAATATCTTATTTTAAAGGGATAGTTTGGATATTTTAAAGTGGGATTGTATGAGGAACCAATCCATAGTCAGCGTTTACAGTATCAACCAATCAAAAAACAAAACATCATATTTTATGATCAAAACATCACATACGTTTGTCTTTAATATAACCTTGATACCAACCGAAAACAAACACAGGAGTGAATCAAATCCAATTCAAAGGGGTTCTTTTATGCTCTTTGGGGTTTTCCCTTTTCTGTAGTGTGTTATATCGGGTTTTTTTGCATGTAAATGATCTGCAACGGCAACAAACCCAAAATGTATCTCCCACCCCCAACCCTCAAATTAAGAAGATGTTCGTCTACACTAGCCATTCACTTATTTGGGTGACTTTGATGTTTTAATGGTTGGTTCGTAATCACAAAATGTATACTCATCAAAGAATCAAGGACATGTGTGCTTTAAACTCTTTGTTATGTATTTTTGTGAACATGTGTGTTTTTGCTCCTGATTTAAAGATGTGCAACAAGGCTCTTCCTCCAAGCAAGGAAACCCCCATATCCTTACCTGAATTGTACGAAAGGCTAGGAATACCCAAAACATTGAGGAAGCTTCGGAAGAAACCTGCCCACAACAAGAGGAAAGAGGAGTCTTCCTCAGATGATGGTGACGGTGCTGTGGCCAAACCACGGTTACAGCTTCCCTCCAAACGCCCCATCACTAAGGAGGACTCAGAGAAAACGGACAATTCTTCAGGTAAGACTGTCATGTGTGATTTCAGAGTGTAGCTCCCTCGGGACAGTTTTATCTCACAGACCACCATTGAATTCCTGATATTACCACTTACATTTGTTCATAATACGCTGTTCTTCTATACAGCTGTATTTCCCTATATCGACATAGTTAAATATCATTATAGTACAGTATTACATTTCACATTCTGTTTCATTTTATTCTATTTTTACCTTTACATGGTTAATTTATTCCTGCATTTACTTGCACTATTTAATTTAATTTTCTTATTTACTTTATGTCTTAAGTATATTTTATGTGTATCACCATTCACACTCGTAACCAACGACTAAATTGTACTTTACATACATCTTTTAATAATACTATGCTGTACGAGATTGAAATTCAATTTGATTGTGTTTTCTCTTTTTCTCAGATGTGGTGGATATCACTGAAGGGTCCAAAATGAGGCCCAGAAACATGAAGCCAGAAAGTAAGAATGGATGTGGAGTATTGTAAATGATGCAGTATTAATAAGGTTATAGTTATTGACATAAATGTAAACACAATATGTACTTATTGTAATCCTAGTGTTGTGAACAATGCTATATTTAACGTGTGTATGGAAACATATTCAGTAGGTCATTGTAACTGTATTGCAGGTGAAAGTAGTCCAAAGGCAAAGTATGCATGCGTTGAGGACAGTAAAAACGATGATGAAGACAGCGACTGCATGATTTTAACAAGAACACCACCCAAGACTGCAGTCTTAACGGTAAAAATAGTTCATTCAGATGAGCATTTTTTAAAACAACAAATCAAACCTGCATTTATCTCTTCATACAGTCATATTCTAACAACACATTTTTGCTTGTTAAGTTTGGTGGCATTAAAGGTTTGTGTGTGTTGTCCAGGATGTGATGGGGGAGCTGGTCTGGGGTCTGGTGGAGGGCTTTGCTTCCTGGCCAGCCGTCATTGTCCCGTCTAAGGAAGAGAAGCAAGATCCAGAGCGGAGGATGGTGTCGTGGTACGGACAGAACATGTCCTCTACGGTGAGTCAGATGNTAATGCAATTAAAAAAACAAAAATGTCATACATTCTGGATTCATTACAAACCATAATCAGCAATATTAAAATAATAAAAGGCTTGCAATATTTCAGTTGATTTGTAATGAATCCAGAATGTATGACATTTTTGTTTTTTTAATTGCATTACAGAAAATAAAGAACTTTATCACAATATTCTAATTTTCTGAGACAGTCCTGTATATACTAATAAAGGACTGGCTTATCTAAAGCCAGTTGAGAAGCACTTGAAATGTTTTAGCTCGATGAAACCTGATGAACTTATATGATTCTGTTTTCTTCAAGGTTGTATTTTGTTGGTCAAGTCTCTTTGGATAAAAGCCTCAGCTAAATGTGATGTAAACTCATAGGATGACATGTTTAAGGGAGACTACAGACGATCAGCTTTGGTCCCAGATGCTTTCACATTTTCTGGGACATGTATCTAGAGTACCTTCATTTAGTGTTCAGGGGAGTGTTTCCTTTCCTAACAATGAACTCTTTATAATCAGCTATATTCATCGTTCTGTATATTTGCAGGAGATAGCACCGATATCTGGGTGTTCAGAACGCCTGGTGCAGTCCTGAGGGTCTGTGCAGATCTGTGTTCAGTGATCTGAGAACAGGTGACTGATCAGAGAGCAGCTCATTCAACTCACTGACGGTCCGGATGGTTCTGTCAGCTCTCTCTGAAACACTGATCCGTGACACTCTGCAGTCTCTGTTAGAGAATCAACCCTCGTGCTCTGCAGAGCTGAAGGAACATCATCCTCTGACGTGAGAGCATGGAGGCAGTTTCACTCTGACAGGGTTACCCTTTTCCTCATGCACTTCTCAATGGATGTTTTTATACCTTACCTTTTGGTCAGGTGCTTCCACCTTCAGACTGAGTAATGACTCCAAAAGTACCTGATGGAGAGCTCTCTTTATTCAAACCTACACGGGGAACGATGCACCCGACAGGATTTTAGTATTCAACAATCCAGGGAACTTTTCCTGTAGTGATACGCATCCTTTGGGTTTCTTTGGTTGGTCTTAAGAATTGTTGATCCAGTTTAGCAGAGACCATGTGGGAGGGGGTGACGGGCGTAAAGGAGCCACAGGTCGGATTTGAACCTGCATCCTCCTCAGCGATACATTTGGGTTTTCAAGCAGAGCCTCCCTGTTATCATGCTGCTTCTCTAACTCCACATGTTTACCACCTGAGACGCTGATATGTGATACACAGAAGTGCATCTCTGTATCTGACCGTGCTGAGTGGTCAGATGGAGGGGGGNGGGGGGGGGGGGGGGGGGTCAGAGGTCAGCGGGGAACAGCTGCTGAAGGTGAAGGTCACCAGGTACAGATGTTCGATGTTACCGGGGGTCAGAGAGATGCATTCTGGGTACGCAACATCACCTAAATCCATCCATGTGTTTCCTGACCTCTGACCCTTTTAGTTCTGTCATACAAGAAGAGAAGAAGAAGAATCTTTAAGTGGGAATCAGCATCACACAAACACACACACACACACACACACACACACACACACACACAC